TGCTTCGTGAGGAAGATGAATTAGCAGATGCACCATAATTGTGAAGAATGAAGGTGGAAATATCTTCTCCAAGTTGCATAAAGTCAAGATGACTCGATCTTGTTTTTTATCAAGTTCTTCAACCATTAGAACTTTCCCACATATAGCTTTCATTATATTAGAAAGTTCAATGATACAAGACGTCACCTTACTCGACATGCAACCGCGAATAGCTACTGGCAGTAAATCTTGCATTAATATGTGATAATCATGTGACTTTAAACCATAAAGTCTTCGATCTTTAACACTGACACATCGAGAAATGTTTGATGCATACCTATCTGGAAAATTTATATCCTTTAACACTGTGCAAAACACTTCTTTTTCTTTTTTCGAAAGAGAAAAAATAGAAGGCAGCAAGAAATTTCTTCCATTTGGACGTAATTGAGGATGAAAATCATGCCGAATTCCCATGTCCACTAAGTTAAGTCGACTCTTAAGATTATCTTTAGATTTTCTGCCATCATTCAGAATGGTCCCGATAATATTCTCATAAACATTCTTCTCAATATGCATTACATCAAGATGATGTCTCAAAATATGCTTTTTCCAATAAGGTAACTCGAAAAATATACTCCTCTTTTTCCACAAGTCTATCTCGTTTGGAACATCCTCTTCATCAGACTCATCATCAGTTTGTTCGTCAACTTTAACCCCTTCATTGACTTGCTTTGCCTTTTTCTTTTATCATGCAATACTTGGTTGATTCATCTTTCCATAAGTAAAATTGATATTTTTCAATATTCTGAATATTTGAGAGCCGGTTGTTTGGTCAGGAGCATTTCGAAACTCTTCATCACCATCAAACATATTCTTTTGACTTCTAAATCTATGATTATCAGGTAACCACCGACGATGTCCCATATAAGAGAACTTCTTTCCATTAACCAACCACTTTGAACATGTTTCTACAGCACAACAAGGACAAGCGTCCTTTGGTACTCCAACCCGATAAATTTGCATACGCAGGAAAATCGTTAATTGTCCATAATAAAGTCGCGCGTAAATTAAAGTTCTCATTCGTCAACGCATCGTACGTTTCGACCCCTTCGCATAATTGTTTCAACTCTGCAATTAGCGACTGCATGTAAATATCAATATCATTTCCGGAGCCTTTCTCGCCAGGGATTATCATGGATAAGATTAAATATGATTGTTTCATGCAAATCCAGGGAGGCAAATTGTATAGAACAAGTACAACAGGCCAAGTACTATATGAAGTACTCATGATTTTGAATGGATTAAACCTATCAGTTGCAAGACCGAGCCTGACATTTCGAGGATCTCTCTTAAAACTTGGATACTTGTTGTCAAATGACTTCCAAGCTAAAGAATCCGCTAGATGCCGTAATAATCTATCATATGTTCTGCCATCATGATGCCACCTCATAGACTCAGCAGTCTTGGAGGACATAAAACAATCTTTGTAGCCTAGGTATAAGAGGAAAATATTGCAGAATCTTAATCGGTTTCTTTCTTGATCGTGCTTGAGCTTCATCCTCAGTAACATTTTCTGCCTCCCTAATCATCCATCGAGATTTTCCACATACATGGCAAGAGTCCTGATTTTTTCGATTACCCCAATACAACATACAATCATTCTGACAACTATGAATTTTGTCATATCCAAGACCCAAATCTTTTATCATTTTCTTCATATCTTTGCATGATTGAGGGATTTTTGCAAAAGGAAACACTTCTCCTAGTAACTCCAACAATTGCGTAAAGGAGTTACCAATCCACCCTCCCATGCATTTTAAGTGGAAAAGACGAATGCAGAAAGAAAGCTTTGAAAACTTTGATCCCTTATAAAGTTGTTCATTCATTTCATTCAGCAACTTGTAAAACTTTTTCGCTTCTCCATTTGGCTCTTCAGCACTTCCAATTCTTCCTATCTCAATGAAATCATTAACATCATTCTGACAATAATTTTCTATAACATACGGCTGATGAGTGTGCATATTAAATGCATCTCGTAACATCCCTTCCATGTCATCTTCTCTAAAAGTTGGATGGTGAGAAGGAGCATGATAAGTCGAACAACTCGTGGAAGCAGATCTATCTGATACAAACTCTCCATGAAAGATCCATTTTCTATACCCCGAACAAATCCAAAAATAACTAGATGCTCGTACACAACTTCACGAATGTGCCAGTTAATGTTAACACATTTCTTACAAGGGCAAAGAATCATATTCTCTTGGCTTGCATTCAGAAAAACTAAATTTAGAAATTTTTCGACTTCATTTCGATATTCGTCGCTTACCCTTGAGAAATCCATCCAACTCTTATCCATTTCATATTTCTGGAGTTTCAAATTCAAATGTTAATTGCTAATATTATAGATAAATTTAAAGCCTAAACAGAAGCATTACATTGAACCTAAAACTCTCTGAGAATCAACAAATTGAAAATAAAACAAAGTTCTAAAAGCAGACACATTCAAACAAGAAAAAGAATAAAGTCCAAATTCTCAAATGTTACTTCAAGGATTTTATGGTAACAAGTAAATAAGAGCTATGGATTTAGGCTAAGATCAAGTAACAATATAAGAAGTTCTTCATCCAAATAAAATTTTTGTTATGTTATTTCGAGTACGAAAACATATTACACCACTAACTTTTCTTTACTAAATATTCTTTACTAAATACTCTATCTCGACTTAATTTTTTTTTTCATGAAAACAATATTCACTAAACATAAATATCAAGCATTTATATCTAAACAAACTCATGTTTCATTCTTAAAGAGAGAAGATTACATTTGTTTTCTGAAAAACGTGTTCCTCACAATCGATTTAAATTCGAGTGTCTCAACTCAATTAGCACCTAGAGAGAGAATTTAAACCGATGAAAGTGTATAACAAAATATGCAAGAAAATATCGACATTCATGTTATGCAAAAAAGGGGAAAATGGCTTCTTTATTACAGAAAATATCGACATTCATGTTCTACAAAAACTACAGAAGGACAAGGGCTTCTAGTTTATGTAAAACATTCAACATGAATAACAACTGACAATCAGTTTCAGGTGAATATGAAACAATAAGATATTTGTTACAAACCAACTTTATTATAAAACATTTAAATTACCACGTCAACTTTTTTTAACCAACGTACATGAAAGTTGAAACCCCAATACAAATGGTAATCTATTTTTTTTAATATTTTTTTATTTTATTATTTGTATTTATCTGAAATTTTATTTGTATTTGTTATGTACAAAATTTTATGGTACTTAATATATATGTGTTCAACCTAAAAAATATTTCTAAACCTGCTGCTTGATAATACGACACACTAACAATCCCAGGAGAAGCATAACCAAAAGGAGAACTGCCTTCATGGTTACCCTAGAAAATTGCCAAGAAAAAGCTACTGAATTCAAATGTAAATATATATATATATAGCCATACCATTGCACCATAAAAGCCTCGTACTTCATTATGGCCCATATTTCAATCCATTTCAAGAACTCCGTCATTCCTTCATCATTCTGTCTCCACATCTGATCATTTCTCCACCATAAAAACCCCACCTTTCTAGATTCACATCCATCTCACATACTCCCAAGAATGGCTAAAAAGAAATCTAAGAAAAATACAAAGACTCCAAGCGAAAATGTGCTCTTAGGGTGAAATTCTTGCATTTTGATTTTGAATAATATGTATATAGGAAGCTTGAACATATTCTAAACTGAAGGAAAATAATGAAAACTGAAGGAAGGCAACTATTGATTCAATTCAGCAATGAATGAAAATGTGTGTTGTGTTTGCATTGTTGTGTATCCTACAACCAGATCAGAGAACCTTGAATGAGATTTAAAATTACAAAACAAAATGTAAAATAGGGTGGTTTTTGGTAAGCAGTGGTCACTTCAAATCCATGGTGATCCAATGTACGGTACGTCCTCAACCATCCTATGTGCCAGTGATCTAGATCAACTGCTGTGATTACAAGTTTGGTACGAACTCAACCATCCTATGTGTCAGTGCTCTTAGATCAATGAGAGTGATTAGATCATTGCCTTAAAGATTATCTGATTCCCACTCAAAAGGGCAGGAAACTTTTATCAACAAGATGAAGTGATATATTGAAGCTACATAGGAATTATTTGGAATAGTTTTTTATTTTCAGATTCTAACAATTAATGATTATTAGCCCAAAAAAAGGTAAATCCAAATCACGAGTGATAAAGACCCTTATTGATGATTAAAATAACATGGTTACTTGAAAATGATACCAATCCTTTTACTGGCAATGGGAAAAAATACCTCCTAAACAAGTTACAACTATTGCTACTTGCCAATAACATGAAAATGCACCAACTAGCTTTTTAATAATCCCAAGTTTCACCATGACTCCTATGACTTCAACTTTCAACAGAGCTGTACATGTCAATTCATAATTTCTTATGCATTTCCATACAAAGAAAATGGGATCAACCCTTATGGCTTTATCAGCGGAAAAAAAGTTCCACCTCTATCTTTATTCTTTAATAGCAGAGAAGGTAGGACTGCTTCCTCAGTGTTGGGTAGAAATTTAGAGACATAATACAAAAACCTGTTGTGGTAGTCAGCATCTTGCAATAATTTTTTCATTAAAATACAAGTGAAAAGAATATGCACAGTAATAGTTGTGAAACCATTTGTTACATGTTGACCAGGCCAACAAAAGCCAAACACAGTAATGCTTTCTTTCTCAAGACAACCAAAGAAAATAAAGATCAAGAGAAGCTCTAAGAACTAAAATGTTGCAATGCTGGCTTTGATTTAGAATTAGGATTTTCTATTCGCAAGAATTAATGGGGTTTGCCAGAAGAAATGTAAAATACTTTTCGCACGCTAATAATGAGAGCCAAAATAACTTAGTAAGCTGTTCAACGACCTAGCTATTTTATCATACAGATACCCTTTTACCAAGAGTTTATTATTCGTAAAACAAGCTGTTACACATTTCATATACTATATCTTTCTTTTATTTTTCCTAGCATATCCTACCATACATATGCTTCCATAATTCCCCCCAAGTTAAAGCTTCAACGGAAAGTAAGAAATAACTTTACCTCTGAAAAAGCACAGGCTCGAACTATATGCTTGTGCTCAAATGAGTGCAAGACATCACCGGTTAGTGCATCCCACACTTTCCTGCATATAAAGGCCATTTTACAGGATATGTCAACCTTTTTTCAATAAATAACTCCGTAAGTGCAAAAATATGAAGAACTTTAGACAAGCCACTTGAGGTGTTCGAAGACATTTGATATTAAACACAAAATCTGCATATAAAAGTATACAACTAAGAAACCGACTAAAAAATAATTCAACAACTTCCGGATTACAACAACAGCAATATTGTGATTTGTGACAGAAGACAATCAAGAACGAAAAAACAAACGCAGAAAAGTCAGCAGAAGCAGAAGCAGCACGAAAAGCGTTTGTGCCCAAGCAAACACTCCACACTGCGCCCTTGTGTCCTTCAAATGTTCCTATCCAATCTCCTGTTTCTCCATTCCTCAGCATGGGACTGGAATCTAAACCAGACAATTAAAACCCCATTCATATAAGCATAAGATCAATAATAATTATCCCTCCACAGAAGTGCACATCATTCCTAGTTCTATGGAAAAATACGGTCTTAACATTGATAATATATACCCCATATGTATATGAAGGCTTATAAAATGAAATCTTATCAATGAAATATAGACCATAAGTAAGCCTAAACATAGATGAGAACAAGCAATTTTAAGATAAATCGATTACAGTTTAAAAATCGCAACTTCTCAAAGAAAACAGAGAAAAATATGGAGAGAAAAAAAAGCGATAGTCTTGGACCAAATAAATAGTAATTACCCTTGCTGGCACTGATGAGAAAAAAACCATCTAAACCTGATTTATAATCAGAGGGGAATAGGTAAAGCTGATCAAATTATACATATTAAAAGAGCAAAGAAATCAACCAAGATTTAAAACCCTCGGATAAAACATTAAAAATTGTAAAACGCGTCAATAATATTTAAAAAATGCAAACAACTTCCAAAAGTAAAAACAATTGAAATTGGAAAAAAATAATCAGATTGAATGAACGATAAAGATCTAGAGTAAAGATGGGAAGGGAAATCGGAATCAGGCATACCTTGATCCGACACCGTGGATTTGAATGTTTTGAAGAAGAAACAAAGGGAAGAGAATATTGGGAGAGGGGAGATCAAAAAATGGGGGGATAAAGGGAGAAAGAAAGGAACCGGAAGATTGTGGAAGGAGTGACAGAGAGTGCGCTAGCGTAGGAAAGTCGAAGTCTCAATTTCCCTGTTGCTTCTGGTGTTGTACAAATAAGAATTTTAGATTTACCCTTCTTTTATTTTCTTATTTAGTGGTTCTTTTAAAGTTTCCTAAGGTACAAATATGTTGTGGCGTTTGTTGAAACAAACGCCACTAAAGATTATATCTATTGCGGCGTTTTTCTATAAACAGTGCTAAAGTACTACTCTATTGCGACGTTTTTTGAAAAACGCCACTATAGATGAACCCTATTGCGGCATTTGTATAAAAATGCCGCTAAAGTACTACTCTATTACGACGTTTGTTGAAAATTGCCACTATAGTTGAACCCTATTGCGGCATTTGTATAAAAAATGCTGCAAATGACTACTCTATTACGACGTTTGTTGAAAAACGCCACTATAGATGAACTCTATTACGGCGTTTATTTAAAAACACTGCTAAAGTACTACTCTATCCACCTCATTTCCTGAGATGAAATCAGAGATTGAGAAGCGGGAAGAAGAGTTGGAGCCACGAGAGGACCAGTAAATCGGGGAAGAGAATGAGAAACGGCGTATTGAATTAGAGTTTGGAATTAGAGAACGACGGGAATGAAAAATAGGTGGGTGAAAAAAATGGAAAAGGGTTAAAGGGGCGTGGGACTTAGAAATTGTAAAATTGCGGCATTTGGAAATACAAACGCCATTAAAGTATGAGTCTATAGCAGCGTTTGCATTCAAAATGCCACTAAAGTACGAGTCTATAGCGGCGTTTGTATAAAAACGCCACTAAAGTACTACTCTATAGCGGCGTTTATATAAAAACGCTACTAAAGTACGAGTCTTTAGCGGCGTTTGCATTCAAAACGCCACTAAAGTACAAGTTTATGGAGGTGTTTGGATTCAAAACGCCACTAAAGTATAAGTATATCGCGGTGTTTGTATAGAAAACGCCACTAAAGTACTAGTATATAGCGGCGTTTGTATAAAAACGCCATTAAAGTACGATTCTATAACGGCGTTTGTATAAAAACACCACTATAGTACGTACCTATAGCGGCATTTATTGGAAAAACGATGCTATAAATGACAATATACAACCATTTTATGGCATTTATTTCAAAAATGCCACTAAAGTATTAATCTTTCGCGGCATTTTTGGATAAACGCCACAAAATGTCAGATCTATAGCGGCGTTTCTGGATACAAACGCCACTAATTACCTTTTATTTAGATAATATTAGTTGATTTTACATATTTCATTTCTACTGTACATCAAGTAAATTGACTGATATATGTATAAACAGTATATGGAGAAACATTAGTTGATTTTACATATTAACAACAACCATACATTTTAATTAAGACATAAGTTATGCATAAAAATACTTAGCAACAAAATGCATTCCAATTTAGAAACATTAAAGTTATGCATAAACAGTCTTCACCATATTGTTCAGTAGAATTTAGTTGTGCTCATTCATGGGGAAAAGACGTAGGAAAGCTGTTTTCCTTGTTTGACGACGTATCATTAAGTTTTTCCTCCGTGTAAACTCTATATGGAGAAACTTTTCATCCATTTAACCAAATAAATTTCCTATCTCCGGTTCACCAAGAAGAGTCCTTGCGCGCTTCAGTGCTTCACTTGAAACAGATAACGACCTTTCACCTACAGTATGAAACTTGATTGTAGGTGGCTTGCGAACTAAATAAAATTAAAATAAATTTAAATGGATGATATAAATGTTTACTTGGAGTAATAGTAGAGGTAACTTCATCTTCATTGAGGATACATACTGCTTTTGCAATTGAAGATTCTTTCAAAGCCACAAAGTTACCAAATTCAGTTCTAAACATCGGGTATTTATCCACTCCTCTATCATCGTTCTCAATAAGCTTCGAAGATCTTATATGAATACAATCTATAAAATTTGACTGAGCATAGAAAAACAAATTATAGCGGCTGAAAGATTCATAGATTATTACCTTCAAGAAGGAGATCGACCATAGAAAGGTATGGAGCAATAGGAGTTCCTTTCGGGTCATCATCCAGTTTCGACGGCGAGACCGGACCGATATCCTCCCAACGATAATTTGATCCATCATCAGAGAAAATACGCCACTTAGACATTCCGTCGACAATAATTACTCTTACTCAAGGCAACATCTGCTCTCTTTTTCTCAAATACGTTAGCTTTTTGGGTTTTCCCTATTTTTAGAAGAAAAAAAAAATGAAAAAGATCATTAATTATAAGAGGGATCAAACCATGCAGTTGTGTTATAGTTCGTCGGTGAGAGGCCTGATTTGGTCACTGGGACATACAAACGACGACATCGGTAGGAATCGTTTGAGAGCTATTGTTGTTTCAGAAAAGAAGATTTGAAGGAAGAAGAGTTTAAATGATTTTAGGGTTCAAGTAAGAGAAAAGAAGGACTATATATTTAACATTTTTTGGCGTTTATACAAAAAAAAGACACTATTGATTACACTATTGAGGAGTTTTTTAAAAAACGCCACTATTGATTAAAACTATTGCGGCGTTTTTTCTAAAAACGCCACTATTGATTAACACTATTGTGGAATTTGTCTAAAAACACCACTATTTATTATCACTATTGCGGCATTTTAAGAATAAATGCCACTATATGTGTAATCTATTGCGGTGTTTGTGGTATCGCTAATTTACCGATCTATTACGGCATTTTGGCTAAAACGCCACTATATGTTAATCTATTGCGGCGTTTTTGGTATAAACGTCGCTAAACGCCGTAATAAACCACCCTATTACGGCGTTTATTGTAATAAACCACTCTATTACAGCGTTTTTACAAAAAACACCGCTAAAGTATCAATTAGTGGCGCTACGATTGTAAACGCTGCTCTATGCTTAACTTTTGTGGCGTTTTCTCTCCAAACGTCGCTAAAAGCGCCGCTACATATCAGTTTTGATGTAGTGAATGGAAGATGAAACTCCAAAAGTTCACATAGAATGAAATATATTTTGATTTTTAGGGGAAAAATTGTTAAATCATTAAACATATCCCTTATCTTCTTGGTTGTTCCTATATTAACCTTTATGATTATAATTTTTTACATAATTGGTTTCAATTCACATATTTTCTTATTATATATATATATATATTAAATTCTAAAACTCTATTTTAAATCTATTTATTAATAGAATAATTCTAATTAAAACTCTAACCCCTATTTTAGGGTATGACAACTCTACCCAAGTTAAATAAAATTCGTCTTTGAAATTTTACACGAATCATACAGATGGGGGTATCTCTCGCACATATATTCTTCAGGTTCCCAAGTTATTTCTTCCAAACTACGGTTTCTCTAAAGAACTTTAACCAATGAATCCCCCTCTTCCTCAAGACCTTCTCATATCTTCTTAGAATCATGATTGGCTCCTCCTCAAACGTCAAATTTGGTCTCACCTCGATTTCTTCGAACATAACTATATGTGACGGATCTGACTTGTACATACGAAGCATAGAAACATGGAACACATTGTGGATACACTCCAACTCTGATGGTAGCTCAAGCTGATATGCCACATGACTAAATCTCTTAAGAATATGATATGGTCTAAGGAACCTGGGACTCAGTTTCTCATTTTTACCAAATCTTAGCACCTTCTTCCACAGGGAAGCCTTCAAAAATATTTGATCTCTAACCTCTTACTCAATTTCCTTATGCTTAAGATATACATAAGACTTTTGACGATAAAAAACTGCCTTAAGACAATTTTGAATCATATGTACCACATTTTTTGTCTCCTGAACCAACTCTGAACCTAGAACATTTCGTTCTCTCAACTCAGTAAAACTGAGCAGTGTACGACACCTACATCCTTACAAAGCCTTATACGGAGCCATCTGGATACTTGACTGATAGCTATTATTATATTCAAATTTTGGTAACAGCAAGTGATTCTCCTAACTACCTCACTCAATCACACATCCCCGTAACATATCCTCTAGAATCTGTATTGCACGTTCAATCTGACTGTCAGACTGTGGATGGTAAGCAGTACTAAAATTTAGATGGGTACCAAGTGCCTAATAAATCTTTTGCTAGAATCTAGAAGTAAACCTTGGACCACGATCATAAATAATAGATGATGATACATCATGTAATGTCACAATCTCTGAAATGTATAGCTTTGCCAATTTTGTTAAATTGTAATATGTTAGAACCGGCGAAAAATGAGAAGACTTAGTCAACCTATCAACAATAACCCATATTGAATATTTCTTCGTGGGTGTCAATGGTAAATCCACATACAAAATCCATGGAGACTCTCTCTCATTTAAATTGTGGTATTTGAATCGGCTGTAATAATCCTGAAGGAACTCAGTGTTCTATCTTTATATGCTGGCATGTTAGGCATTTAGATACAAATTATGTTACATCCCTCTTCATGTCAGACCACCAATACATAGTCTTCAAGTCCTAATACATCTTACTACCTCTAGGGTGCATAGTAAAAAGGCTACTATGCACCTCACGAAGTATCAACACTTCAACATTAGGCACATAAAATCTTTCTTGATAACATAAAATTCCATTTTGATAAAAATTAAAGTCAGAATCTCCACCTTGCTCAACTTGTTTAACTCGAGGTAACAAAGTTACATCTAAGGGATATTATCCATCAAACTTAAATTAGCAAACATAGCCCGGAGATCTTTCATCTCATTCCTTCTAAGTGCATCAGACCCCATGTTCGCCTTTCGTGGATGATACTCTATCACACAATCATAGTCTTTTAACAATTTAAACCGTCGACATTAGGGAAAATTTAACTCTTTTTGAGTTAGAATATACTTCAGACTCTTATGATCTTTATAAATGTAGCACTTCTCTACATACAAAGTGTGCCTTTATATTTTTAGTGCAGACACTACCACTGCAAGTTCAAGGTCGTATGTGGGGTAGTTATGCTCATGAGACTTTAATTATCGTGATGCATATTCAACCACCCTAACTTCCTACATTAAAACAGACCAAGCCAGAATAAGATGCATCATTATACACAGTAAAATCCTTCCCAGACTCAGGTTGAACTAGCACAAGAGCTTGGGTTATCAAAGACTTAATCTTATCGAAACTAGCTTGTTGAACATCACTCCAAACAAAGTGTGCATTCTTCCTCAATAGCTTAGCCATAGGTACAACGATTACAGAAAACCTGATAACTCCATAAAAGACTAAATTTCTAGACTTTTTACGTAGGTTATTTGCTCGTCTAAACAAAGTGTTCACAGCATATTAGTTGCATTTAGGTTATAATTACATGTGGTGGATAAGTTTTGCTTAGGCAAAAATTATTTGTTTTGACTGATACTGCCGACAAAAAAGTGCTTGTATGGATTGTGTATGTGCAGAAAATTAACTAAGGAGGAACATTTCAGTCGCGACAATGTATTTCGCAAGGGCCAGTGGAACATAGAAGATAAAGACAGTAATGAGCAGATTTACCTCGCTAGGCAAGGTTTATCTTGCAAATATGAAGGATATGATGAATAGCCTATGTCACATGTAAGTTGTATGATTACCCTCACGTGTAAGCAAGCCCTCAAGATTCTGACAACAGCAAGACGCCTTTCTTTTTTTAGCCTGGACAAGAAAAAATAGGTATTTAAGGGAATCTTCACTTCTGTGAAACCCTAGGAGATTTCCCGTTACAAATACCCAATCATAGCCACCAAAAAGAGGAGGCAATGAAGCAAGAAGATCTTTAACTGAAGCATGAAGTGAGCAACTGTAGTTCTTTCCTACCGATTTCCACCCCGACCATCATTGGTGTCCTCCATAGCCAGGCTATAGCAAAGCGACAGTCAGGCCTCGAGAGAGGCTGGCCACCAGGGCAGGTGTGGTGTTGATTAGAGATGTCATGATAGAGCCTCGGTTTTAGGAGTCGTTCTTTCTTTGTTCTTAATTTCTTTACTTTTCTTGGGGTTCTATTAAAATGATGATACTTTGGTTAACTTTTTTACAACACCATGAACTACTTTACTTGGTGTTAGTCTTTGTTTTGCTGAGACGATAATTTTACGTTTTATGGATGACGCATTATGATTTTTCTTATGTATGTTTTAGTCATTGTTTAAATATTTTGCCTTGACATTGTAAGAGCTTTGAGAGATTGCCTGGGATATAGGTGAAACATGTCTTGACACTGTAAGAACTTCGAGGGATTATCGTTTGTCTAGATATCGATTCTTAGATTCGAGAGAATTAAGATAGATCTATGTAAACAATGGAATGGATCCGAGATGGTGATGTTATAACATGTCTACGTTAGAGATAAGGAGAGGGTTTTAATCGACTAAAAGGGATAGACGCTGGAGTAATATAGATAACGATTATAGTTCGCATTGAGATACATTGCTACAACAACAGTCTGACAAACCAAGGGTTGTAGTTAACGCTGAGTAGTATTGCCATAACAACCGTCTAAGAATACTCAGTAATCCTGTCGGACAACTTAAGCATGTTATAACAAATCATTCTAGACATAGAATAATTGCTTGTCATAACAAAAGATTAGCATGAGTGCTCTATGAAAAGTCCGAATATGTGAGGTTGTTTTGAATATATTGGAATCAATGTTTATCTTTGCCTTGCTTATTTTAATTTGATAGCTTTGCATATTTATTTGTCTCGACCAAACTCTTCTACAACCATATATTATAATATTTTCTTGTTTATTTCGTTACTAATAGTTTTCTAGTTTGACAAGACTTCAGGAATTAGCTCGTGACAACTAGTTCTGGTTGTGGTGAAACTTAAAAGAGCCAAACAATCCATGAGGAGACGATAACTCACTTACCCTTTATTACTTTAGTCGACTGTGTATACTTTCACATATTTGCTTGCCTTAGCATATAACTTTCCAAGCGATCAAGTTTTTGGCGCCGTTGTCGTGGATTGGCAACTGACGAAAAATTATATTTTTTTCCATAACAAATTTTTCTTTTCACCTTTTACTTAATTAGTTTAAATCCTTTAATTATTATTTATTTTCTTTTGAAGGTTTCTCGTTGCATGACCCTGAGATCTGCTGGTAAACCATTAGATTCATTCGACCCTAAAATTGAACAGTCATTCAGACA